CAATAACCCGGCGTTGCAAATAAGGTTATTGTGACGAAAATACACTTCCTGGGTACAAGTATATGAATGAACTGACGAAAGATTAGCGGATACGCATGCCTGAGGAGCGGCAAGAACCGCGAAACCGGTCGTGTGCTTTCAGGGAAATTTTGTCCAGTCATTCACATACTACTTATTATCAAATATATATATATATCCGCAGTCTTTACAAATGCGGCACCAAAATAACCATGGGTGTAAGGGAGTTTACGGTTAGCGCTCGCACGCATGCACTTACAACCTGGTCAGCGAAATGATCTCTGAAGCTAATTGGTTCGTTCTTCTCCAGTGCGCTGTTTCTCTGGCAAAAACAGATTGCCCAAAAGAACTAATAGTCAAAGTTGTTTTTACTACCCGCATTAAGTGTAGAGGCCCATGGTCGCGAAGATTTGCTGGTTTTCTTAACTTGGAAACCGTTAAATTATTCCCCAGGATTTGGAGTGACGAACCACATAAGAATCCTCTAGGTCAGGCGTTGTAATAAACCGGATGACAGTAAATTTGCCTACCATCAAGGTAGAGTAGCGCTGGTGGGCCTCGAACCAAAGGGTCCAAAGCTCGCTGGTGACAGCTAATAAACCACCGCGCTACCATTGTCGATTAGGTTCAACCCTATATGGGGGTTACTGTAATCGATTGAAGCGAGATATAAGCTTTGAACCAGAGTAAACAGGCCCAGGTTGATCGGATCGCGACACGGGGCTTATACCGGAACGGATAGTGTAAACAAACCCTTGTGATNATATATATAGGTCGTCCTGTAACCGTCACCCCGACCCAGTTTAGTTCAACCGTGTTAAGTGGATATATTCGGTTGTCCCTAGAACAGTTTCTGTCTGCGTTGAAATCAATGCAAGAGTGCACACGCCTTTTCATTGAGGGAGACTGTGAACATACTTGTTAGTTCACCTGAACTGAGTTCAAGCTGGTAAGCAGTCTCTAGTAGTCAGCTAAATATTTCAACTACTAAGTGCATCCACAGTAGTAAAGCTGAGATTTCAAAAGAGGTTTTTTCATAGCTTGCACAGAGAATACAGCATGGAAGAGTTGCACAGTAACCGCTAGTTTTATCAATTTGTTGTGATCGTCTCTATCATATAATCTGTATTACGCGCCTGATGATGAACAGAGAAATAAATCCGGATAAAAATTGGGTAACTCAAACCCACTGTATTCTCCATTCAAGTTCAATACGGGAAAAGTTCTTTCAATTTTCTGAATAGACGTCGGCCTTTCAGAAGGACTATCTTGGAGTTTTAGAGATACTAGGGTAGTTAGTTTCACTTACGTGCGCAAGCACAAAGGGGGATAAAAGCGCACGCTGAAATGTAACGTTTCGATTCAAAGGACTCGTTATCAAACATAAATGTAATGGAGTGAGAGAATGGAATTAGTAACTTTCCGTGCGCCAGTGTAATGTTCGTGTGTCTGTAAGGCCACCAATCGTCACAGAATTTTCGAGCGTGACGTAGTGTTCGACTACCTCGACACACCGGTTGAACAAACTGATCGAAAGAAAAGCTTCGAGATTTATCACCTCTGGTTAGCTCCTTGGAGGGCGAGTTTGGGTTTGTGGAATCCAGTACGTGGTTGTTCATCTTTCAAACCTACTTGGTGTTGGCCGCAAACTACGCTCCGGTTTGCATATATCCAGTCAGGTCATTCAAGCTGTTGAATACAGCCTTGTTGTCCAACCACGACCTCGTGGTTGCTACTGGTGTTATATACCCATAAGATAGTGCCGCGGCGAGGATAGTTATCTATTGTACCGGTCAGAGTATGGGTAAATTGGCATACATACAACAAAATGCCTACTTTGAAATGATTCGACAACAACGCACACCCGATAGTTAGTGGAACGGTCCAACAGTAGATTCACGCTCGTGCTGAACACAGCAATTCACCCGTTGAAATAAACCACCAACCGCATCTTTTGCGAACTACCCACAAATGTGAATAGTATCTAACAACAGTTGTACCTCATAGCACTGGTTTATGAGCTACCTTAATTCCCAAAGGCCTGAATATGCGTTCAGTTGCATCTGACGTACTGCGTATGTAGGGCAACATCATCGAAATCTCCTCTTCCGTATTGGTTGCTTTTTACCCCTAATGCGTGCACCGATAAAGCTCCAACAGCGTGCGTTGGATGAGAGCAACTGAAGGAGTCCACTTCATTCTCATACCCTTGACTCCGGTATGCTGCAATATGTATTCCGTTCGTGNTCCTCCTTTTAGTTCTTTTATGATGGATATATCGAGGAAAACTTGGATGTTTTTCTCTTATCTCCGTGTGAAGTTGATCCCAGCTATCAGTTCGTTGATGATTCATTGGAACTTAACAACCGCGAGAGTTCCAAATATGGCGGAATATGTTGTTCACATATCGTTTCCACAGACGAGAATGTACGCATTTGAAGGCCTTTATTTTGTATTACTTTATAACCGCATCTCTAAGCAGGTCTGAGAGTGATGACCCCATGGTAGTTCTTCTTACATGAACCTATATGTTCTAGGCAAATCTTCCCTTTACTCCAGCATCCAAACGGGTAGTCATGAGACAGCAAACAAAACCGGCCTACGAAAGTGCACGGTTAGTGGTTGTAATTACTGATCTGAACGAATTGAAAGTAGGTTTTTGACGGATTTCAGTAATCCGCTCAAGGTTAGTGTTGCTCCTGATTGAAGATTTTGGTCGTCTTCCCACAAGTGTCGAATACTTTCGATGACCATGGAACGACAGGAAAAAGTGATGAACACAACTGAATGATGCATGGTGGTCTTTTTATATTACCTTAAATCCCAATTATTTTCGGTTCTTTTGTATGGTTGATTCTTTCGGTACGTGGTCGTGAGCATTCATGGTAAACTTACTACATACACGCTGTTGGTTTTGATTCTAGGCCAAATATATCCCTGAGATGGGGAAGCTGCCAGGTCTCCAAACCCAACCATAACAGCGGAACATTTAACCCTTTGAGAGAGTTGATGTCACAGCTTCTTCAGATTTGCTACCGCCATGCACGATGTAGCCTAATCTTTAATACCAAAACCAGTCGTTAATTTAAT